GGGGGTGGGTGGGGGAGGGGCTGGTGCTCGAAGGCGACGGCAGGAGGGACTCGAGCCCGGGAGGGGATGATGACGAGAGGGCGGGCGGCGACGGCCATGGTGGTGGTGGACACCACTACGGCGGCAGGGCGGGGAAAGCCGCGGTGGAGTTCTCCGGTGGAGGCGCCTGCGCGGCGACGGGGTCGTTGACGGCGGAGGAGGACGCGGCGGCAGTGGCCCCAGCGCGGGCGGGTTTCGCGGCGGCGGCGGCACCAGAAAGGACAGTGCAGCCACCCGCGCGACCCTTCGCGGGGCCGTGCCTAGCGAACGGAGACGGCGGTGGCAGGGAGCGGGGTCTTACAGGTAACCGTGAAGGCGGAGAGCAGGACGGCGGGCGCTGCGGTTCCTACCGCGCGCCTCCTGCGCCGGTCAATGTCGTCGACTTTTTGCCGTCGCGGCCGTGGAGTGGTAATGGTGGAAGTGTCGGTGCTGTCATCGGCGTGCGCCGGGGTGCTAGCTCGACCCCCGTGCCGGTGTCGCCGGCCACACCCGCCTGTCGTTCTGTGTTTGGTGATGTCGGAGGCGGCCGTCCCGCCGTCCCCGCTACCGGTACGGCGATGACTGCCCCAAGAACCGCGCCGAAGCCTAGGAAGCCGCGGTTTAGGATCCCTGTGGTGACGCCGAGCCCGTCTTCGACGCCCAATGCTAACAGCCAGCCCCGCCGGGCTCCACTCGCCGTTCACCATGCAACGCCGCCGACTCCGAGGTCATCGGGCCCTAATACAACAGCGACACCTGATTCGATCGGCGTCGCTTCGGCGGCGGCGGCGCCGCAGCAAGTAGCCGTGACTCCGGGGACACCGTCGGCGAGGTGGTCACCGGTGGAGCTGTTTACGCCGTCGCCGGTGCCGTCGTCGTCATCGGCGGCGGGGGCGGCGGCGGGCGGCGGCGGGCGGCGCGTCACCGGTAGTGGCGCTGCTGCTTCCCCGACCCCTCCCCCAGGGTTCGACGGCCGCCGGTGTAGATCGCCGAAATGCACGAGTATCCCCCCCGACGCAAAGGCAGGGCGAAACGGCGGCAGTCGCGCCGCGTCGTCCAAGCGCAAGCAGGAAGAGGAGGGGAGGAAGGTAGAAGGGGCGCAGAAGCGGCCGAGAGCTTCCGCCGTCCAATAGAACAGCTTCTTTGTCAACTCTCTCTCGCGCGCTCACCCAGCCCCGTCGAGTATGAGTCTACCGCGCAGCAGCCGGGGCGGGAATAACCGGCGGGAGGGGGGTTGGGGTGGTGGGCGGCGGACCGGCGGGGCCCCCTCTTGGTGCCGACGTTAATTCGGTCGGAACGGTGACGGGGTTTTTAGCATTAGAGTCAAGCCGGCAGTAGGTTGGATGAAAGTTGAGGGAGGAAGAGCAATGTTTACGTTTCCGCGTTGTTTCCGTGCATCTGGGCAGGGGTCGCAAAATGAAGATCTGCGGGGGGCGGGGGGGGGGCGGGGGGGGGGGACGGTTTCCCATGTCAAGCCTCGAACTTGCGCTAGACGAAGCCCTGGGAAAGTGAATGAATGATGTCTGTCCGTTGGCCTACCTAGAGGTGTGTTGAGTGCAGGGCTGGAGCAACGTGTCAGGCTTTCGAGTGTGATGGTGTTATCCCGTGCTGCTGCCGCCGCACACCCCGTTGTCCATGCGTGGCGTTTCGAGGGAGCCCTCTCCCTGCGAGTGAGCCGTGGTGTTTGTTGCCCGGGTGTTTGGTGAGAAACAAGCAAGGATTGATTGTCTCGGTGTTCTGTGTCTCTGGTCCTATCCACCATTGTGTTTGGATCCCGATTCTGGCATCCTGCGAGAAATCTCACGCCTCTCGTCACAATTTGAAGAGTGAAAGCGTGCATAGGCTTCGTACAGGATGGGGGACACGCCGCGTGCATGATATTACCGTGTGGGGTGCACGTTTGGTTTGCTTCGCTGATGCAGCAGCAAAGAAGGCGTGTGGGCGTGTACAGCGAATCCTACCCCTTGACCCATCGCCTGGACCTCACCTGCTTTGCGAGTAACGCGAGTTGAGGTTCGAGAGGCCGTAGAGCTGCCGTTGGGTATCGACGTCTTGGACTTGTGCTGTGAGGGTCTCATCTTTGTTTGATGTGCGTGAGCGCGCTCCGTGCAGGGTGGATGGCGTCGGGGACCGTGTGGTTTGCTTCGCTGATAAAGCAGTGTCCAGGAGGCGGGATAGCGTAGAGCTGCTGGTGGATTTGGGCCTTGTGTTGTGATGTCGACTTTCTGTCTTCGTTCGTTTTTACGGTGTGCGTGGGAGGTGCTTGCTGTGCTTCTCGAGGTATACATTGCTTGCGTATATTGCACCTCTCTTGGCCCACGTTACGCCAACTTATGTGACCGGGTTATTGTCTGGCTGGGCCAAGAAAAGGCGGCAATTCTCACTGGAAAAGTATACATAACACGAAGAACCATTTTTATCGTCTGTATGTTGTGCCGCATGCTCGTGCTAATTCAATGTTTTGCTGACTTGATGTTGATCTTGGTCGTAGTCAATGAATCAACCCCATTTTGCGTCGTTTGCAACGCCAACAGAGGAGGTGATGGGCAATGGACAAAACATTGGGGGGGGGGGGGCGCCGCCTAATGCTGAGGTTGTTACGAGCTCGTGCGAGGGTGACGCGTGAGAAACGATTGCTGTGTAGGTGTTGTCTGGACAAAGTGCACGGTATTTAGTCAAAGTGCTTGGAAGGCTGTGTTTCCGTGTTTGGATGGGTGGTAGACTAATCCGAGCGCCAGTTAAAAAGGACACAAAGAAAGGCCTAAGTAGGGAGGATCTGTTTACGCTGCTGCCACTTGCTGACGCTGAGTTAGCCTTCAGTTTGTTTTTTAAAGGCGGGGGAAGGGGCAGGCATCCCTAGCATTGTCTGCTTGGTCCCACAGGCATCCTATTAAGCGCTTTTAAAGTGTGTGCGTGTGGTGCATGCACTCTTGTATACTTGATATTGTATTGTAAGTGATGCGGGCGTCAGGTGGGGAGCCTGAGCCATCGAATGGAGTGTGTCGCTGTTGTACATTACACCATGTTTTTTATTCTCTTGATTTTCACGCACAGCCTCGTGCCGCGTGCGTAAGCCAGCCCTGGCGCGCGCGAAGCGCGCTCCAGTAGCTCGGTACAGCGACTTGGCCTACCCACTGCAGACCAACCAAGCTTAGGGTGTGTGGGTAAGGCCTAGTTAGGCTTAGCGCCGCGTGTGGTGTAGCCTGATAGCTGGAACCCTGCTAGTGGCGTTTGTTTCGTCTACCTCCAACTACAAACCAAAAACTGGTGAACTGGCGCACGCAAGTCAAGTCCCCAGCCCTGGCGTGCGCACGCCGGTCCGTGCAGCCTACTGCTGTGATGTGGTGTGAATGTCGTCACCCGTCGACCACGTTTTTTTTTTTTAACATGACACAACGAATCCATCTCTAACAAGAAGAAATTTTTCGGCGGCAAAAATCGGCCAATCAGAAAACTGCGGGCACCTTTTCTGTATCGACATTTCTCGAGTCTACCACACTTTGGCCAACGAGGAGGGTGATTATGCTGACACAGAGCGCTCAAGCCCCGGAACTCCGCAAAAAAAAAAAAAAGAGCACCTGCTGGGGATGGATCGATTGCACACCGCCTCAACTCAAAAACTTGAGACATGGTGAAGAGCCATGCGTGCTTGTACGCAGAAAATTCAGCTGATGTGGGAACAAAGTTTTCATGTGCGAGAAAACTAAGACGCACGGACCGCGGATGGCACGCCGCCCCACGCCCGGCTACTGCCGTTCGTGCCCTCGTCAGGCTATTGTGTTTCCATCCTGTCAGCCGGCCGAGTCGCTACTTACAAAGACTCCACAACCGTCCTCTCCTCTCTCTCCCTCTTCGCTAGCTACTGCTGTCCGAACACAAGCTCCCAAACCCTACCCCCTGAAACAACGCCCCTGGCGGTGACAATCATCAACTGTCCGATACTTCCGCCCTCCTAGTTTTTCCGGTGTCACCGGTGCCGCCAACGACTTCGGTACGGTCGACGGGACCCTCTATCTCGTCGTCCCGTCTTTGCTGTCATCCACGGGGCCCCCGGAGTCATCACCCCCCGGTGCCGTAGCCTTGACCGATCGCTCGGCCCCATCAGCAGCGGCCCGCCGTTGCGTTCTTGCGTCCATGGCCGCTTCCACAACCTCCTTCGCCCCGTCCCTGGCCTGCCCCACCCTTGCCGCCACGAACTCTCTCGCGTCGCTCGCGAGCCCGGAAATGATCGGGGTCTCGGTGTCGGACCCCCCCTCTCCCACCCCCTCTGGTCGCTTCCTCTCGCCACGCTCCTCCTCTTCTCCTGTGATGATTCGCGCCGCCTCCTCCGCTTTCAGGAGCCTCTCCCTCGCGAAGCCCTTCGCTCGTCCCGCCAGTCGCTCCACGTCCGGATCTCGGAGAACGTCGTCCACCGCCCGGCGGGCTCGCGGGGACAAGAACCGTGTCGCCCCGCCATCGAGGTCGGCGTGACCCGGGTCGTTGTTGGGATGGGATTCCGCGTCGCTTGCTGCTGTGGTCGACGACACCGTCCCTGGTCGCTCCTGTGGCCTACCCACCGATGATACACAGGGGGCGGCGTTGTTGTGGCTCGGAGGAGCAGGGGCGCTGCGCATTGCGGAGGAGCTCTGTTCGCCTTCTTCCCTGCTGCTGCTGCCACCGGCGTCGCCGTCTTTCTCGAGGATGGCGTCCGCGATGACGGAGGTGGCGTGTTTCACCTCCCCGGCTCTCTCGCTTAGGAAGCTCTGGATCATGCTCTTGTCCATCGCCATCACGCGCTTGATTTCCTCGTCACTGCCGAGCGAAAGCGTGTTTAGGAAGAGGGGTCAGGGGACTCAGGGCGGGGGGGGGGGAGCGGCACGTCAGTCGAACCGTGCGTCCCCGCTGCGGAACAAACTGGGTGGCGGGTCGATCGTCACCATGCAGAAACGGAAACCCGGTTTCTCTTCGCGGAAACGCGGGTAGCGCCTCGTGGGAACCTTGGTGACGGTTCGTGGAAATCCGGTAGCGCTTCGTGGAAACCCGGGTAGCGCTTCGTCGTCACGAGCGCGCCAACCTTGGTACCGCACCACCTTCAGTTCGAAAATTGAAGGACCGTTGGGATGCCTACGTGACTACCCTTATGTGTGAGAGGAGGCTCCCGTGATAGACGTTGGGGAGATTGCCCGTTTCAAGCATCTCCACAAATGGCCCCTATACTTCCAAGCAGAGTGGTACCACGCTTCTACGGTCGACCGGCACCACAACCCAGCAGCAATGGTCGCCGATAATCCGGCCGTCTGCCCGCGGGGCTTCTCGGATAGCCCGAGGTTCAGTCAAATTGGTTCAGCAGAAATCTTGGGGGCAACGGCCCGTATGTACCAACGAGATGTATTCAAGAGAAAACATACTACACCACTAGGAAGGTGTACCCTCATTTGGGCAGTTTGTCTGCAAGCACCGACGGCGTCCGCGTCAGTTGGACCAGTCCGGATGTCAGAAGGTATTGAGCAGAGATCGGAACTTTTTTTCATGGGGAGACAACAACAACGACAACAAAGAGCGAGCAGACGGCGGAACGCACTCCCGTCGGGGCCACCAAGACGTAAGCTGGAAAAAAAAAACGCAGTAGTTCAGGGTCCACTGGTGCAAAAAAAAAAAGAGGCTTCTCTTTGGTGCTTCTTAAGTCCTGTGTTAATTGCTGTCTCACCGAGCTTCTCGGTATCCCGTGGAAAATTCCGACAGAGAGACCCGTATCAAGTCCAGCTTCTCCTGGGCTGCCGACTTGAGCTCGTCTCGGTTTTCCTGAAACAAAGGGTGTTTTCAGTGCATTCGGAGGAGTTTTTCGCGCGTGGAGGGGCCGGGAGGGTGGGACAGAGGGGGACAAGAAGGCAAAAGCGTGGATGAAATAATATGCGAAGTACGAGCTTAAGATGAAACTAATTGGCTCGCGCGATCTACAGGGCCTCCGCCATATGACCAGCTACAGCATATATGTCAGTATCCGGAAAAATGTTTGGCGGTGATACCGGGTTTTGAAGAGCGGGAGGAGCGTACTCCACGGGCAGCAATTGATTGCCTCGTCTACCCCATGGATACGAGCACCGCAGTACATGCCGCGGTTCCTAGAGAGAGCCTCTCTATGACAAAGCTGCTATTCTACAGCAAATCCGAAAGAAATAAGCACGGGCGAGCTGCTGATTCATGGTAGAACACATACAGCGCCGAGCCCGCTGGTTCTCACAGCAGCCAATCATATCTTTAAAGAAGCCCGGCCAAGAATATATAAATTTATCGCCTTGTACACATGAAAAAGACAAACATCCCGGGAAAGACAAGGCGGAAATAATAGTACCACAAGGAGGAGGGTCGTGAAGCATAATCCACAACAGGGCCACCGATGCATCTCTAGCAAACCTATGGTCTCACGTGAATCTCTTCCATTAGTTCCTTGAGAGCCTCCTTAGATTTTTCCAAGTCCTGGAGGGCGCCGGGCACGACACGATTGCGCCGGCCCGTGTTCCGTAGTGTACAAGGCATCATCATCAGCAGCATCAGCCAGCCAGCAGCAGCAGCAGCAGCAACAACATCATCACCATCACCATCATCATCATCATCAGCAGCAGCATCACCATCATCATCATCATCATCATCAGCAGCAGCAGCAACAGCAAAATCAGCAACAACAACAGCGGCAGCAGCGGCAACACACGACAGTGAAAATAACGTCTTCAATAAACAGTGGGGTCACCACGGGAAGGAGGGACGGTACTTGGCTGGGTTTCCACTAAAGGGAGGCTTCTTGGTACCCGTGTATTGTGCTGAATATTTCCTTCGAACTTTCAGCTCCGAAAGAAGTAGAGATTGGAAAAAGTGCGCTGGCGACAACAAACAGGCACTACTGTAGTACGCACAAACTTGAGCCAAATACATGCAACCGAACCTGAAGGCACAGCGGGTGGGACGTGCTGCGGTAGGCTACAGCTGTCGGGGAGACACTCAAGACGAAACGACGAAGAACATCTCCGCAAGCCGAAGCGTGTTCGGTTCATCGCAGACAACACGTCAGCGGCGTTGCGGGTACCGTGCATTTGAAGATTGTGCCCAAACTTCGAGAGAGGGCATTTGGCTGCGCTGTCTGCATGATCGCCAAACTACGCCTCGGGGGGGAGAGGAGTTGTGCGTCCTAGGACAGAGTGTGCCGGCAGCGATCGCCAAGCACCAGGCCGCGTGCAAGGCCGGTCGTACTGATACTTCCACCTGGGGGTCCCAGATCATGGCCTTTAGAAGCAGTTTCCGTTTCAGCCGCACTGCTCGACCGCGCCACGACTGACGCATTTTCATTGGTAGCGAGGTGGGTGCTAGTACGTACTCCGACGTTATTAAGACACACCCAGAGAGAGAGACTCACACACACACACACCCAGACAGACATGCCCACGCACCTCCGGGGAGTTGTGCGTGATCTCGCGGGCCTCCTTCACCATACCCTGGAGCGTGCTCATCTTCTCGTGGGCCTCTCTCTTCTTGGCCTCTTCCTTGCGCTTCCGGCTCCACGCGAACGACTCCGCGAACGATGCTCTGTACCACTTCCAGGTGGAGGACCAGATCTCGGTGTGTACCGACAGCGGGAGCTTCCTGCAAAGACATCGGTTTCGGGAGGGGGGGGGGGGGGGGGGGGGGGGC